GAGAGAGAGAGAGAGAGAGAGAGAGAGAGAGAGAGAGAGAGAGTTCTTCTTCTTCCTCCTCTATGTCCACCATCTCTTCTTCCCCTCTCACCACCTGACTTCTCAATATCAGCGGACTACTACAGAGAGAGAGAGAGAGTTGTGACTTGAGACTTGACGACATTGGATCCAGACTCGACCTTTGGGATTCAGACATTTCGACGAGGGACTATTTGGGCCTGTGCTGAACACTTGGTGTTGACGACATTCCCATCTTCCCTTCTTCTTCGTCTAACCCCCCATCTCCTTCGTCTGTGTATGGTTGGGGCTGGCGCAGTCTTCCTGTGTGAAGCGCCAGACCCSTTCACACCATGGAATGATGATGATGAGGTATGTTTGGGGCTGCATTGCAATATTGATTGTTCGGATCATTGGTATCTAAGTCTTCCGCTGTGCTATCTTATACTTTGTATTGAAAGGTCGGTTCTTGTTCTGGTCTGCACCTATACGGTATGCAACAGTACGGGAGGCATCAGACGTGTTGTACGTCGCGAGGCTATGGTGGTAACAACACACGGTGGATACTGCGGGTGTGCTCTCTTGCATGACATATAGTGCTTGTGTCGCACGGTACTATGATGTTATCGTCCACGAGCACATGAATCTTCGAGGTCGGCATGATGACTTGACGGGATCTGCGACTCCGATGTAATGGTTGGGGTTGTACAGCTCGGCGTCTCCAGGAATGGGAGGATCGTTTATCTATGGTAACCTTCCTCTGTTTCGTGGCATTGTGAATCGGCAGGTGGAGACGTAGCCATCTAACCTGGGTTGCTGTTACGTGGTTGCGTCACAGAGCATTGTCAGCCGGCACGCAGTTCTTGTGTACAGCGTTGGGTCTCGTACTCGTGGCTGTGTGCAGCCATATCTGGACGTGATTTTTCAGCCATGTCACCTATCAGCCAACGTATGGCGTCAACTTTTCACTGCTCGAGGGGTTACTTCGGCGTGTGGGGTCTGTGTCATTGAACCTGGCCACTGGTGCTGCGTCATCGACGGATCAGAGGCATTGACACCTGGCGCACTGGGCTTGTTTGACGCTGGTTGTGCTGGCCTTACGCTGATTGTTGTCAGGCACTTCGGCACTTGGGTACATCTTCATTGGTACTCTTGCCACGTGTTGTTCACGGAAAAAGATCTGGGAGCGTCTCTTCCCAGGTGGATATTGCGGTATCATCACGGCGATCGGCATGCATTGGTCACGCGATTGTTTTGAGTATAGGGGGCAGGGTTTTCCATCGACGACAGGATAAGATGGTGCTTTGGTGTAATTACTGACGCATGTGTTTGTAATGTTGCTTTTTGTGTTTGAAGTAATAGGAATTGTGATTGTACGAAAAAAGAAAAAGGTGATTTTTTGTTTTTGTAGCGTATGCAGGCGCGCGGGAGGGGTCGGGGCAGGGGTAGGTGGTCAAATTGTGGTAGGTATTGGATGGAGACCCCTCCTCCGCCTCCACCAGCGCAACCACCTGCTACTTCCTACTCTGCGGGGAGTATCCCCTATCAGACTCCGATGAACCCCTTCTACCCACCTTTTGCTCCGAACACGAACTCGTTTGGTTATAACCCATTGCCACAAAATCTCGTCGGAGTTCAGCCGCAGGCGCAATGACCCCTTGCAGGGGCGTCATCTGCTCCTGTGCAATTGGGGGGTCAATATAACCAGGGATTCGGTCGGGGGATTGGTGGGTACCAAAATCGTGCCTTTTTTACCCTGGAGCACGCGGACTTCACAGATAAATTGAGACTGAAGGACGCAGTGGATGAAGCGAGAAAAAAAGATCTTGATGAAATCGCGAGACTGAAGGGACTTGGGTTGGATTTTGGTGGTAAAAAAGAAGTCGAAGAAGTGAAAGAGAAGAAAGGTAAGAATAGAAAGCAAGGGAAAGATAAGGGAAAAGGGAAAATCACGGAGGATGGAAAGGAGGATGCAATGAAGAAATGGTTGGCAACGAACTTTGGGGGTTCTCTGAAGATACTTTCAGAGAAATTGGAGGAGGTGGATAAAAAATCCAAGTTGAAGGATGATGAACTGGAAGAGCTAAAGTTGTTGAGGGCGGAGAAGGAATTAAGGGAGTTGAGGGAGAATTCTAGTTCTGAAAAAAGGAAGAGGGAGTCGCCCTCGCACCCTTTGAAAGGTAAAGTTCGATCTAGATCGGTGCTTTTGAGAAAGAAAGGTAAAGAGCAGACTCTGAAGCCTGTGTTGCTGTCGTCAGACGAGGAAGGGAAGGGAACTGAAAGAGACGGGGTAGTACAGAATCTGAGCGGGAAATTGGATGGATCCGCCGGTGGAACGAAGGATTTGGCGGAATTGAAAGTTCTGCTGAAGGAATTGTTGGTTGGAAAAGCTGCCTGTAGCAGCAATGTAACAGCTGGGCAGGAAGTAAAGCAGGATGAAGAGGGGTTGGGACGGGGTGAGCAGGACGGAGATGCTGATGTACCTCACAAGGTGGCAGTTGGAACTGATAAGAACGAGGATGGGGAGAAGGAAGAAGGGTCACTGGGGCTATATTTCAAAGACAGGGTGATCTATTACGACGCAATGCACTACACGGAAATACAAGCGTTGTGCAAGAAGAAGGGTATCTCGTACAAAAGGAAAGAAGGGGGAGTCTGGGAGCTTGCCCGACTAGATTTTGAAGTTTTGTTGAAACTGGAAAAGACGGAGAAAAAGGATGAAGAGGAGGAGGAAGATGGGACAAAGAGTGACGAGGATGATGCCGATGACACGACTAGTAGTTGAGCTTGGGACAAAGAGTGACGAGGAGTCACAGGGTGATGATCTGGTGGGAAACTAGCGGGTGCTAGTAAAAGATCATTACTAAGATTATGCAGGAGACTGATTGAGCTTGACAAGCAGCATCACAGGGTCATTGGGACTGAGGTTGGTAATCTCCTAAAGTTGATTGTGCTAGCACTTTGTATCAGAGGAGACATAAAATGGGGAATGACATACGTTAAATACTGGAGAAGTCTGAACACTGATGACTGGGATAAAATGCTAAATGACAATAGTTGCGTTTATCTCCTTACCTCCCCTTTTTTCAAGCACACTTATGTGGGGAAGACTGAGAGGGATCTGAAGACCCGTTGGCTGGAACATGTGAGGACAACGGAATCTGCACCAAAGCAGAAGGTGCACTGGTGGCTGGGAAAAGTGGGTTTGTGGAATTATGTTCCTTTGCCATTATGGTTTGGGAGCAAGAGTTCATTGGGTTGCATGGAAGATGTCGTTATTCGTAGCCATAACCCGGGTTTAAATATGAGGAAGGGTAACCACAAACCCTCGAGGAGGAAGCCCAGAAGAAAATCAAAGAATGGGGAAAGTTGATAATCTGTACACAATTTGATTTGGATGTATCCTACGCATTCGTTTGAGCCTTCTCCAATGCCCAATCCTCAGATGATAACGTCTCTACATAATATGCTCCCCACCACTTCACTCCGTACGATGCCCGTTTGTTTTGAGAAATGTTTGGTAAAGTGAGAATGTACATGCATCCGCCATGTAGTTGAAATTTAAGACTAATGGTTACTAGAGTTCTTAAGGGGTTCCCGATGGTGCACTTTTTTTTGTTAACATGCATCATTTGATCTCGGCGAGGACAGTGGCGGAGTGGTGGGCAGCATTGGGTAGGGATGTTACAAGTTCATGGTTGCAAGGTCAAACACGGCAAGCGGCAAATGATAACATCTCTACATAATGCTGCCCACCACTTCACTCCGTCCGACGCCCTTTTATTTTAAGAAATGTCTGGTACTAAGCTATAATTGCTTCTTGGAATGATAACATATTGGGCTATGATCATAAGTTCAACCTTTTGATTGAGTGAAGGATATTTAATGAATGACGCACGGTTGATAACATAACGGATTTTCTCCATCCGAATAATGAAATATTTGATTCGGATATATCGTACTCATGTGATTCGGATGTATCCTACTCAACCTGCTTGTATTCAATTAAACTTCAAAAATGAGTTATTCTTGTCACTCCCATGCACCCTTTAAAGCCTCAACGAAGACCTTTTTCGGGTCACTCATATGTGTCCCTCACAAGGCGAAACCTTCGATATGCTACGTTCATACTGACTGTCTTAATGTGTGTCAGTTTAGTAAGGATGTATCCGACTTCAGTAATTGAACTTTTCGTCTTGAAACAAACTAAATGTGTTGAGGATTTATCCGTTGAACAAGGACTCTTATCGTCGTGTATGAATGTATAATGAGCATTTTTTTTCGTCAGCCGTGTATACCTTTCGAGTTCCTCGAACGACAAAAGTACTATTTAAAAAATAATGTACTATTTTGATGAATAACATGTTGAATACAATGCGCACTTGCTTTACCACATGAGACACAACTCGGACGTGACAAAGATTCCAAAGTCAACACGTGACGCTAGACTGACAGTGAGCATGCCAAACAAAACTCAAACTCTCCACAATCAAAGAAAGCAATGTCGTTGTGAAAGCAATAGTTAAGTAATGTCAGGATTTATAAAATATATTCATTAATGAATGAAATGTTTTCAAAAGAAAGTTTCTAAATCAATCGAATTTATCAAAGACCACCGGTCTTCTAAGATACATGATACCAATTATCGTCTAATAAACATAATATCTTTAGAAGAGAACCTAAAAGGTGGTCAATCACCACGTCGCAACAGTGTCGCAAACATCAACATCAACACCCCACAACTAGCTCCATCCACTTGTGTTGGAACTCCTTCCACCACAACATTTGTTGTTATCAACTTCCAACTCATACTTGACCGCCTATATAATGTTTGACGTTTCAAATACTGTATAATCAACTCGAAAACACTAACGTAAAAACTCGAATCAGCTATAACGCGAGGAAAAAAATCAAAAATTTTGAGGACATTATCTCTTAAGTTGACAGAAAGGAGGATTCATTGATCATTATCTTTGCGGACAGGAAAAAAAATAATATCATATTGAAGCAGATCTACTTTCTTAGCCCACCTTTTCACCCCACCGTGTCCTTGAAGTTGCAGTTTACTGAAGAAGAACGAACTAAAGCTGAAGACTCGAAGGCCTGACGGAATGTCACATATTGCACATGCGGTCGACCCCAATAGCACCATGTTAACATTGACCACCTCATGATTCACCTTGTCGTCGATATGCAAGAGGGTGAGAAGATCTTTTGCTGCAATTCACAACTGACCGTCAGCGAGGGTAGAGAGAACAGTGTGAGGTGGCACCGACCCTCCTTTAATGTCTTCCAAAACCAGCAATCTTCGAGGCGTAATTGCTGCATTGAATCTTCCCCCGCGTGTTCCATGTGTTGTGGCCCGCACTGCACAACATCGAGTAAAGGACACGCAGGGTAGTGAGAAACGGAGTGTCTAAGCATTGTCTTTCATTGCATGACGTGTTGCTAAGTATTTGTCATACATGGTCTGACCCCTACCCACAGATTGTGGATATGTCCCTTTCTTTGCGGCAGAAGGGAAAGACACTCCTCAATGGCAATGGCATGCTCCTTTTTACCGATCTCGATATCAACCCTCGATGCCGTTAACACACTCGTGTATTTTGTAGTCAACCCGGGGACTTTCTGCAATATAAGTTCTGGATATTTTGAGGACCTCTGTGTTCGAGATGACCCTACCCCTGTACAACAGAAGAAAGACAAAACGGAAAATGAATACACTAATTCCAACACGAGTCCGACGAATGTGACAATAAAAAAAAATCACACAACCTACAAAATGCAGGACCTCTCCAATTAAAGAACTCCGAATTTGCACAGGCATGACCACGGAGCTGCGTGTGTGCGGCTGGACAACAAAACGACGAGCGCATTCGAGCTTGAGACCCCCAACCTGTACGAAGGAAAACAACAACAAGCCACAAAAGCGGAAGGCCAACATTCCCTGAAGTTCGGATTCCGACGGACTTTTTTCCACAGCAGGCATACAGAGACTGACCACATTACGCATTGACACAGGAAGTGCAGATCCCGACGGACTTAAACCATCACTCTCTCCGAGAGGGAAAAATCGCCATTCAATTGAGTTGGTCGGATTCATAGCCGGGGAGCGTGAGTGTCGTGACGTTTATCACTGCTTACCAGCCGGTTTATCCCTTCGCTCCTTCGTCGGTGATGTTGGCGCGGGTAAGGCCAGCACGTCGAGGGCTTGACCACCGACCCTACATTTTTTCAGGGATGTGACATGTTGTCGGCCCCCGACCTTGCCCTCCCTGCCGCTTGCGAAGTTGGTGGCCAGTGTCGGAGAGGTGGGTGGTGAGAAAACGGTGGCAGAGGGCACAAAAGGTGTGATGTTGCGGGGATCGTCCACGACATGAGCTGTCGACCGTTGTGCGGACACCTGCTCGTCACCGAGTATGCCATCGATAACTTCAACGATGTTGGACAGCCGACTTCGTTCAGCCGGGCTCACAGCAACGAAAACCTCATCGCACCGGTGTTGGAGATCGACTGCAGCCATCAGTGGTTGAACTTCATAATCTTCAGGGTCTTCTGAAAGGGCACTGACCACCTGCGTCTCCATCTTCATTGTTGTTGCATTGTCGTCGACATCACGACCGCGATTCTCTCTGTACAACAACCCAAACGAGTCTAACGACTCTTCACAGCCTGCATCGTCCTCAATGTCCACCCGTTTGTCATCTTCAATATCAAAATCCCCTTGTTACCCTCTTCTCCTTCACGCAACAGAATCAACTCCTTTTCTCCCCTTTCCTCCCCTTCCTCCCCTTCTTCCCCTTCCTCCCCTTCCTCCCCTTCTTCCCCTTCTTCCCCTGCTTCCCCGTCTTCCCCTTCTTCCCCTCCATCCCTCCACTGCAATTCAGCCTATTTTTCCGAAACTTTGTCGAATCTCGGGGACCGCTCTTCGGTCCCCACGCGTGTAGCCCACCCTCTGCCACGACAATCCTTGTTTCTAAAGTCCGTTCTAAAGAAGTCCGGATCCGGGCGGACTTCGACGTATCGAGGTCAGCCCATGCTCCACTTGTGCCTGGTGCTTCGGTCGGCGTAGTTCGGATGCCGGCGGACTTCGCCGCCGATTCCTTACCGAACCTGGCAGTCGGTTGTCCAGCAAGGTTCCCCTCCCCCTCCCCGCCACCAAGTTCCGTTGTCGCGGCCTCCTGGTGAGGCGAAACCTG